TATCTTTATGGGTCCATCCCAAAAATTAAGACATGTATGGATTTTTGTAGATTCTCATTTTGACCATTAATTATACAATTATTATTTTACCCTTAAGTGATGTTAAAATTACTAAAATGTCATTGATCGTCTTTCTCATGGCTCTTCTATATAATAAATACTATATATAATATGCCCGTGCTATGCACGGGCCCAACGAATTTAGCTTCCTTGTATTAGCGTAGCATTTATTCTTACACTTAGTAAATATAGAGTAAATGACATTTTATAAATTTAAACTGGCAAAATGATAGAAATATCGAGACAATACATAAAAAACATTACTTAATATTTAATTAGAAAAAAAAAAGCTTTTAGCTTAAGTCAATTTCAAAAAATTGCTCATAGGGAGAGAATTTTTTATGATTATAACAAAATCAAGTCCAGATTGAATAATCTATAAATTTACAAGTTTTAACAATATTAGCTAAGTGTAATATGAGGCTCATAGGGAAAAGGAAGTTGGTTATGGTTAGTTTGAAAAGGGAAATATATGTCAAACCGCAAGGCTCTTCAGTTTGAATAAAAGTAAGGGCAAAACATTAAGGTTATATCGAGTATTGAGGTCTCATAAACTGTGATCATCCATACAACACAACTGTTTTCTAAAAAAACTTGAAATTTGACATCTCCAGTAGTTAATCAAACATAATTAACTATGCATTGCTCTGTCACAAAATACCAATTGACCACATGTTCTATGGCTTATCTTAGTTCTCTTTTAATAGAATTAAACAAAAAGTGTAAAGTTCCTAGGTTGTTGTTCTCACATGCGATGCAGAAATTCATCAGCATATGGCTTATTTTCAATGTATCGAGGGTTAATATATTGTTCTCTTACTTCTTTCTTGGGTCCTTGTGATGTCATCTCATTGTATATATCTGCAAAAAAATAAAACAATGCATTACATATCCAGGTGATAAGAAATCACATCTTATAGTAGTTTATAATATCATTTAGACGTGAGAAACTATAAAACATCATTTAGTAATTAAAACTATTTACATATAAAAATTCAATTTTATTTTTAAAAAATTTAACCACAATTCATGCCAAATTGCAAAAAAATCCTCTTCATTTAAGAACTTAAAAGTTAAGATTTCACCATGTTTTACAAATAGATTAAAAATTATCAATTCTAAGACTTTATATTCAAACAGGAATAATGACTATGCATTCTCTTAATTCTAAGTTGCAATACTGCTATAAATTAGAAAGCACATGCACTTGAATTTCTAAACAAAAGATTTTAAGTGGATTAAGAAGATTGTTATCCATAGACAATCTGCATCCACACGAAAAATTTGGGATAATTAAATAACACCAATAAAAGGCCAAGGGATAACAAAATAGAAAAGGACAGACGTACTGCGAAGCATAAACATAAAATAAAGTACTCGGTAGACTACTATCTAAATTTTTATGAAATTTGAAAACACAGGACCCCCTTACTTCAAATCGTGTTTGTACTTATCCCATCACACAGTTGAATTTTCAAAGAAAACATTCATCATTTACTATACTAATTCGAAAGACACCACATATAAATAATCTTACGAACATAAGGGTCAAACTAGTAAGAGAATTTCCATTTTAGAAAAATCGTATAAATATTGTTCAATTAGATGACACACCCTACCCTTATCATTCTCACAATTCCCTACAAAAGTAACAAAATATCAGCCATACCACGATTGAAGTAAGGAATAAATGTGAGTCTCTATCTAAGTGAGGAATACATGTGAGTCTCTATATCACATTAAATTCTTAAAAATATATATTCCTCAACTGCCCCAAAGTTATTTTTAGGAGAGAAATTATGTAATCATAGATACATATTTCTCAAATATTGAAAAGAAGATGAGGTTCTTGCTCAGTGATAATCATGGATTAGCTATTTATACCCCATCCACCATTTAGTGAAAATTAACATGTCAAACTCTTTCTAGTAAATAGCAGAACAATTCAAAGGATGTTACTCATTATCTAAAATAGAAAATGTGCAATTCTACAAGGACAAAAGAATAACATTGGATGTATTAATACTATCACAAACACTAAAAATTCTTCTCAATATTTCTCCACTCAACTTGTTTGTCTAACTGGATCAATTTTCTTTAAAGATATCAAGGACAAGAGTAAGTATAATTTTTTCTAAAACAAGTAGTGATTGTTTGAGTAGTCTATTATATTAGAAGGAGAAAAAAGAAGATTCATAAGCGAAGATATGATGATATTTTCTACTTCGAAAGTCATATTTATCCCTCAAGAATCTATTTCTTAACAAATTCTATCTTTATTAGTTCAAGACTTTTATGATTGCTCATAACATAGGGAAAATCATTTTCACGCAGTAGAAGACTTCATTCCTTCATATATAACATGAACCAAAAAAGAATTGTAGAAAAAAACAAATAAAAACATTAAGATTGACTTCCGAAAGCATATACACCGATCAATATGCAGTATGTACATACAAATAGTTACTCCTAGATCTCCTTTGTAGTTAAATAACCAAATTTTAACAGTGATACAAAATAATGATTACCATAATCACCCCATAATGATTATGTTCGCAATATCAATGGCTTCAACAAATGTCCCTCAAAAATATAGTTTAATGTCATCATCGACATTAATATCTAAATATGACAAATATAATGAACCCCTAAACAAGGATAATGAGACAAAGTAAAATAAAAAGAAGATACCACGAATAAAAGTACATTATTATTGCTTCTATCTAGACTAAAGAGTTTATAGATAATAAGCAGCAAATGAGTTATGGTGACACCAAAACTTTGAAAATTATAGGAGAATACTGGAATCTCTTAGGTATAACATGCCAAAAGCATGTGATCAATCATCTGAATACCAAATAAGTCATAGAATGAAGACGTTGGTTCTTGCGTCAGATGCTTTCAAAGGGATGAATGAGTCGATGTTCATTCAAAAGTTGTTTATATAAAACAAGGAGATGAGGTAATTACAAGGTTGTCAAAGTTATTATGCCTAATTTAGTGTATGACCATAAAAAAGTATCATAAACTTCACAACTATTTACGATATATTTAAAATTCATCTTAACATTCTTATATTTTGTAGTTAATAGCGAAAGATAATGGAGAGAATTAATCATAAAAACTTTCTTATTATAGAGGAGAACATAAAAAAACATATTTGTGGGATCACATAATTTTTTGAGTTATGTTTTATTGTGAGATTAATGTTGTAATTTTGCTTTCTTTAAGTCGAAGGCCTATCAGAAACGAATTCATTATCTAACAATTGAAAGGTATAATTAATCATGTGCAAGGTTTAAATCAGTAGATTTAGCTTTCTAAATGTACATTTAGTTAACTCTATTGATCACGTTCAAGATGCACGTCGGCGTATAATTTGTGTACAATTTTGATTGCTGGTGACTGAAAAGAATTAAAACTTATATTTTGAATTTTTCAAGATACCAATATGAGTGACGTACTACTAAACTTGAAGAGTAACCTGTATAGAGTATTTTTCAACCTCTTTATTTGAGCTCTCAATGTAATTTTATCCTCAATATACTAATGTTGTTGGGATTTTTTTTCAATCTTTATATTTTTGAAGTGGATTCATTTAACAAAAAAAAGTATTTTCTATCGTTAGAAAACTCCTACTACATTTAAATGGTATGTACATATTTCTATTATATAATATAATATAAATGTAAATATTGCGTGAAATTGTTCTTTTTTTCTTAATTAATGGATCATCAAAAGCCATTCTCAATTGTTTACTTATTCCACATATATGCAAATTTATATATAACATATTTCTCATAAGTTATTGTGGTCCCAAACTTACATTCAAAAACCAAGTCAATTACATTTGCCAATGTACCGAGGGAGTTTCATAGGTAAAAATCTTACACTGGCTAAAATTATATCGTACTATATGTAGTAGAGTTGAAATTCCTTATTTTTTATTATGTGTGCTTAAATCTTTATATTCTGAATTCTGTTAATAAAAATGGGGATAATGCCCAAGTACCCCCTCAACCTATGCCCGAAATCTCAGAGACACACTTATACTATATTAAGGTCCTATTACCCCCTGAACTTATTTTATTAATAATATTTTACACCTTTTCGACCTACGTGGCACTATCCAAGATGATTGACTTTTTTTTTTCCAAACTAGTGCCACGTAGGCTAAGAAGGGGTAAAAAATTACTTAATAAATAAGTTTAGGGGTTAATAGAACCTTAGTATAGTATAACTGTGTCTCTGAAATTTCGGACATAGGTTGAGGGGGTACTTGTGCATTTTCCTATAAAAATGTTATATCTGTTCGAGGGTTGAAGGATATTGGAGTAAAACAAACAAACTCAATTCAAAATTGAAAGGGCTTTAATCACTATAGACCTAAAAGTTGTGTCTCAATATCATAGAAATTAATATAGACAAGGAGTGACATAGAGAGAAGGACAACTAGAGTAAAGAGTAACTAGATCCAAACAAAAATTGAAATAATATTTAACAAATCGGTACATTACATGCATACCTATTGATAAAATAAATCAGCTCAATTTCACAAATATGAACTCGAACCGTTACTAATTTGTTATTTTCTTATTATATAAACCTTCACAACAACCATGAATTTCAGCAATAAAATTAGGAAAGAGAATGAGATAGAATAACAAAGAGATCAAGGACAAAATTGAGTCGTAAAATTCAAGTCTATAAAAAAAAAGGCGAAAGAATTTTGTAGCAAAAGTTTGAAGAAAATATACCTGGAATTATGAAGAGTCCATATGTTCCTCGTCATAGTTTTGTAGGATAACATACCAGATGTTTCACTTTTGTGGAGATGAAGAGAACCAAAGAATGAAGATTTATGATTTTTAGTGGATTAAATATCTTGCACTGGATGATTCTAGATGTTTGGAGAGAGATCATTTATCTGTAAAAACTACCATTTTAACCTTGATCATTCCAACTATCACGTTTTTGACCTTGGATTAGTGGAAAATTACAAAAACAGTCTTGGTCGTCCATGTGATGACTCTTGTATATAGTAATAACTAGATCATCGAAGGCCCGTTCACGGGATCAATAAAATTAATTATTATTTTAAATTTTAAGTTTAAAAAATTATCCAGATTAATATCTTATTTTATTATAATTTTAAAGTTTTTTACTATTCAAAAAAGTTATAAATACTCCTTTCAGATACATTCCTTTTCTCTGTCAGACACATAAGTATTTCCTCTCGGATACATTCTTATCATCTCTTGAATACTTCTTTGACTCATCTTGTATACATTCCTATACTCTCTTGGATACATCTCTCTCCTCTCGGTTACATTCATATTCTCTCTCGAATACACCCCTCCCCTTTCGAATTCATCCGTGACATATGTATCTGCAAGTTTCCTCAATAACAATGTATCACGATCGATGTATCCGCATGTATGCTGATTTATCTGAAATTATTTAATTCTAAGAAAATTTTGTAATTTGAAAAAAGTAGGGATATAATGTAATTAAATCTTTACACTATGAAAATTTTACTTTAAAATAAGTTTTTTGACATATTTCTCTTTGTAGTCAATTTCAAAGGAATGATGTATAATATATTTAAATAACATTTTGACTTTAAAATATTCATTTTATTCTTAGTAAGATGATTTATAGTCATATGAACATCTATGGTTTGTTTTAGATCACGAGTTTTAAAAGTTTTTTTCTTTTAAAAAATCTTCATGTTAAGTTAAATTAAAATTATATAAATCGAAAGGGAGTGAGTACAAACTTTAAATCAATTTTATATTTAAAAAATTTAAGTTTTTGTAACTTATTTGCCTTTCAACAAAATTTAAATGAAAATAATTCACAATTAAATTTATAGTATTTTTTTTATCTCTATTCTATAGATATTAATCAAAATTTTTAATTTATATAAGGTAATAAAGTATTTGAATTTTGAAATTCAAGTATTGATGTAAATTGAGAAAATATTTGTTTAACATTTTGACTTTAAAATATTCATTTTATTCTTAGTAAGATGATTTATAGTCATATGAACATCTATGATTTGTTTTAGACCACAAATTTTAAAAGTATTTTTTCTTTTAGAAAATCTTCATGTTAAGTTAAATTAAAATTATATACATCAAAAGGGAGAGAGTACAAACTTTAGATCGATTCTATATTTATAAAACTTTTTTTTTGTAACTTATTTGCCTTTCAACAAAATTTAAATGAAAATAATTCACAATTACTTTTATAGTATTTTTTTTATCTCTATTCTATAGATAATAATCAAAAAATTTAGTTTATATAAGGTAATAAAGTATTTAAATTTTTAAATTCAAGTATTGATATCAATTGAGAAAAAAATTATTTTTAAGTTGTAACGCATTCGTAATCTAATATTTAATGTGCTCCTTACTCTCAACAAATGAAACTAATTTATAACAATTCAAGATTGCAAGAAATAGAAATCAAGACTAAAAACTGCAACTCACTATTATATGAAGGTAAATATGTAGTTTATCTATTGTGAAGTTTCATATGCATATGATATATAATTCTATGCCAAATAATTTTTGTTTCCATATATTTATACAATTTCAAATTCTATTTCGTTAATTGGTTATGTGTTTTATTAAAGGGAAAATCCCCAAGTACCCCCTCAACCTATGCCCGAAATCTCAGAGACACACTTATACTATATTAAGGTCCTATTTCCCCCTGAACTTATTTTATATGTAATTTTCTACCGCTATTTAGCCTACGTGGCCCTATTTTGAAAAAAAAGTCAACCATCGTTGGACCCACAAGATAGTGGCACGTAAGCTAAAAAGGGGTAAAAAATTATTAATAAAATAAGTTCAGGGGTGTAATAGGACCTTAGTATAGTATAAGTGTGTCTCTGAGATTTCGGGCATAGGTTGAGGGGGTACTTGGGCATTATCCCTTTATTAAACTAGAACTATGCACTCACTATTGTTTTTATTCTTAGATTATCAACTCTATTTTTTTTTATCACTTTAAAATTGTGATATTTTTTTTCTTATTTAAATCACAATTTTTCAAGATAAAACTAAATTTATTTTGAAAATTAAATAAATATTATTTTGGAGATAAAATAAGAAAAAGATTTACTAAGCTACAACCACAACGATCCACTTAGAAACCCAACGACGAAGAAAACTTTGAAACTCTTAGCCGTGAAATGAGAGAGAAGGAGTAATATCATTTCTAGAAAATAATGAAATGAGGGGAAAAAAGGGTAATAAATATTTAAGAATTTAGTCTATGTGTCAGTGGATCCCTATTGGCGTAGAATATGGAACTGACATGACAATTAACAACTTCCGTCAATAAGAAAGACATTTTTGATCCAATAGTTTGACGAAAAGGTAGTTTTGAACCGAAATATAGTTTAAGGATAAATATTAGCTATTTCAAATAGTTTAAGAGTTTTTACCCTTTTCCTTTTAGTCTATGTGGCAGTAGAACCCTATTGGCGTACAATGTGACATTCACATGACATTTAACAACTTTCATTAATAAGAATTGAATTATTGACCCAATTGTTTGACGGGAAGGAGAATTTTGAGCCAAAATATAATTTATGGATAAATATGTATTATTTCGAATAGTTTAAGAATATCTTTTATCCTTTTTTTGTTAAAACTGTATGAATACTTATGTTTTAAAAATATTGTATATAATTTAAAAGAAAATTACATCATGATAGATGGTAGGTTATACTGAATATGTTGTAGTAGCAATAAAAATATATGAACAATTTAAATTGTATAAATATTTTTTATATTATTATAATCAAATAAATAAAAATTAATTTTTAAAAATTAAATAAAATGATTATATGGGGCCACAAATGAAATAAAACTTTTTATGGCTCTTGAAAAAATTTATTGGATTCTTCTAGAAAATTATTTTTGACCAGTATTATGAAATTGTAAAGTTATAACTTTGCCCATAAATAATGTTTGAAATTACAATATTGTCATTGGTTGTCCTAATCATAAAATGAGATTATTTACAAATTTGTCATTGGTCGTCTCTCATTTCACTCTTGTATATAGTACTAGATAATTGAAGGTCGGCTCGTTCACCGGCCCAATATAATTAATTATCTTTTTAATTTAAATTTATTTTTTTTTAACCTAAATTCTCATTTTATTTTATTATAGTTTCTAAAATTTTCTTGTAACGACCTGTTTAGTCGTTTTAAGCAGTAGAGTTAATTCTGGTAATAGCTGTCTGGGTCGACGGATCCCACGACGGGCCGTCATGGGCACGACGGACCGTCGAGGGGGTCTCGTTCCAAAAAACATAGATCTAAAAATTTGGGCACTAAGAACAACTCTCTGAACTTCGAGACGACATGGTAGGACGGACCGTCGTGGGCACGACGGACCGTCACAGACCCTTAGTGAAATTTAGCCTCTGAACTTTGTGACGGAAGCAGCAGGATGGATCGTCGCAGGCACGACGGGCCGTCACAGGCTGCGTCTGACTGGGTCGGATTTCTGTTAAATGTTTTAAGGGGCGTTTTGGACTATCCCTGCTTATAATTATAAAGTTAGTGGGTTAATGTTAATAATTTAATTACTTGGGGTTTAAAGGTGACAACCTTGGAATAAATAGTTGGTTACTTTTAACATCTTTTATACTTAATTATATGGTAATTAGGGTAAAAGGAAAAGAGTTGAATAAGGAAAAATCAGAAAAAGAGAAGAGGGAGAACGAACGAACGAGAGAGGGAGAAACGAAGAGGAAAGCAAAGCATTGGAAAAGTAGATTTCTTGATCACGATTCTTCGGTGGAGGTAGGTTATGGTTTATGTTATTTAATACTAAACTCTTAATAGCGAATGATATGTATTTGGTAGTATTATAAACCCTTCTATATGTGTAATTGTGTGCTTGCATGATGTGATTATATAATTGTGATAAAATAAGCATGATGAGGCTACTGAATCTTAAACCTTGAAACCTCTTTGTTAATGATGATTCCTTGGTATAAAAGAAGGCTTGATGAACTAAAAAGATGAGGTTAATGGATCGGGTGTCACGTTCCGACACCAGGATAGTATTAATAGATCGGGTGTCACGTTCCGACACCAGGATAGTATTAATGGATCGGGTGTCACGTTTCGACACCAGGGATA